ATCACCACAGAATTAATGAGGTGCACATTGCTCTCGTACATACAAAAAGCACATTGCTTGCAAGTATTACGGCTTCATTCTGATTAGTAGGGTTTAACTTTATGCATATTTTAAAGTATGGTTTCTTAAATTTTGCTAATCATTTCCTTTTATATTACAGTTTTTTACTATCTATAGCAATAGCAGTTCTCCTTGTTTATTTCTCCTTGTTTTTTTATTTTGTATTAAATTTTTACTAGTCTGCTAATTATCCAGTCTCCCAAATGTTGAAGAATTTATCTGTAAACAACTATTTACATGTACTGGAGGTAATTTGTTTAGCACTGAACCCCTAATTAACATAATTCTGGTTAGGTAAATGATTTAATTGTCTCCAAATTTTCTGCTTAGATCAACTCATCTACTTAAGAAAAAGAGACAAACTTTTAATTTCATCAATGTCCTGGGGTTTTTCTAGAAAAGTAAATAGGCAAGATCAACCAAGATGATTTTAAAAGTAAATAATATAAAGAAGAAAAGATACCATTAATGTTTACTTGATGATGGATGAGTGAAACAGGTGCACATGTCAAAATGTGAAGTTCATTCCTGAAATTATATAGTCTGTAAGCCAGTGGATAGTGAACTTGGAAAAAAGTAATGAAAGAAAATTTAAATTTATGAACCCTTATGAGAATGCAAAGGTTCATCTTAAGAGACCAAAGGAGAAAAATATTATAATTTCTGATACTGAAAAATGATTGACAACATTTTGCATAAATTTCTGTGATTGGAAGTGCATTAGAAATAGGACTAGGTGACCTCTTGATATGGTCTAAATAGATCAAACTAAAAGTTAGCTAGTGGTCAAAAATAGGGGCATTTCTCTAAATACAAAAAAGGTGTCTACTCTAGCCACACTATTTAACATTGTTCCAAGTGTGTTAGCTAATGTAATTTCATGAGAGAGAATGAAATAAGGAAAAAATATAAGTGAGAGGCAAGGGCAGAATATACACATGATAAGATTGTATTTTTGGGAAATTTAATGGAAAACTGAAAGGCTACAAGCAGCATAAATTAGTTTGTAAAAAATTAATACAAATCAAAAGCTGTCTTCATTTCAAAGAATATTAGAAAACACAAATGAGATTCTGCTCTTATATTTTTAAATCCTAAAAAACTTAACAAAGAATTGAAAAACTTATGGGAATAAAAGTGACTCTACAAAGGCAATTGAAGAAAGGTTCGATAATGTAAAGGTATAACCATGCAAAGTCATGAAATGATTCTCCTATAACTTGAGCAAGGATTAGAAGACAAATCCATGAAAGGGAACAAATAGTTTAGAGTAAACTTTGGGAATGTGCATAATGTGTGTGGTTTTAATGTAACATGATATGAAGATATTTTAAATAAGTGCAGATAGTTTGACTTAATCAAAATGATGAGGTAATTAGTCTGCTGTTTTTGAAAAGTGGCATCCTCTATCCATGTTGCCACAAATGGCACGAGTTTATCTTTTTTGATTGCTGAGTAATATTCCATAGTGTATATGTACCATGTGTTCTTGATCTAGTTATCTATTTTTTAGCATTTGGGTTGATTCCACATATTCCCTATTGTAAATAGTGCAGCACTAAACATCGGAGTGCAGGTGTCCTTTTGAATTAGTGTTTTTGTGTCCTTTGGTAAGATAACTAGGAGTGGAATGTTGGATTAAATGGAAGCCAAATAATTTAAAAAAAAAAAAAGGCGCGCGCATGCGTGCGTGTGTGTGTGTGTGTGTGTGTGTGTGTGTGTGTGGTAGAATCCTCATGTCCTAAGTGAAAACAAATCCCAAATGAAGAGGGAAGTTGGTAACCAGTCACTACTCGTAATCCTGTGGCACCTCTTTTGACCCTTCTTGCCCTTTAGATCTGTTCAGTGTCCCATTTCCCTTGAACTTTCTAAGAGACTGTACAGTGGTAAAATAAACCAGTTTGCGCTTATAGAAGTTATTGAGCAATGTGGTAAATGATCACTATTTTAGGAAGTCTTTTGGAAACATGGTGCCTCATTTCCAAATGAGAACACTAATTATGAGAGATTCAGTTGCAGGCCAGAAAGGGAAAGATTTCTGAACAGACAAGAATAGTCACTTCTTTTAAAGGGACACAATTTTAATCATACTACTAGGTTAGGATGACTTGTGGGATGAATAGATCTTTATTTCATTAATTACACAATTATTTATATTGTGCTATAAGATTTACCTATTATGCATGGATAACAGTATTATACACAGGTAGTTCATTGTAAAGAATAAAGAGCTGCCATAATATACCGAACTTTGGAGGTGGACAATACCATTTCTTTGCCTAGACAAGAGGCTCTTTATGACGAAGAGGAGTATTATCCAGACCATCTCAGAGAACTCAGCCATGCTTGTTAAGTTCACAGACTATTTTTTTTTTTAAAGATTTATTTATTTGTGCATACAGAACTGGGGTACAGGCCAGAGGCTCAGGGGCGGCGAAAGGCTTCACCAGAG